TCACTCTTTCATTTATTGTTCTAACACACAGTTAGTAGGACTGTGTGTCATAAAGACAGCCCTACAATAAACGTCTTAAAGTATCAGAAATATAAATTCCCAGTTGAACAGTCACTATGTCCGCAAACTCATAATAGCCATACCTTTTTGGGGACTGTCTGACTCTGCCACATTCTCTCGGCGCTTTGTTGACTGCTGTTACATCAACTGATGCTCCTATCTTATCAGGACCGCCGTCAGCATCACTGTCTGAACAAGACACACTTTCTGTTTCATTGAAAATCACATCCCGGCAAATCAGAATCCTCCCTTTCTCCTCATCAAACAGACGATAGCCCTTGGCATTGTTAGCATATCCCACAAAGCAAAGCTTCACCGCCTTTTTGTCCAGATTCCTCCTCTCTGTTCTGGAACATGAGCATATACCATACAAACCTAACACTCTCATGTGACTGATGTTTGGCTTTATGCCACACCATCTCTGGTACAGGGTCGGTTGCTCCAGAACTGAGGTGGGTAACCTTCTTCTGCACATATGCTGGGGTTGCCACAGCCTGTTCCAAAAACATCTTTGGCAGCTTTGCATGAGACAGCATACTCCTTGCTGCTTCAACTAAAGTCTGATTTTTCTCTTTCAGCTACACCATGTTGCTGTTGTGTTTGGCGTACAGACATTTGTGGATGCCCTGAGCTTTATTCTCTTTATTCCAAGTATTCTTGGAATTCTTTCGACGTGTATTCACCACCGTTGTCTGTTCTCAGTCTCATAACTTTTTCTCTAAATTCATTGAAGTATGCTTTCTCAAACTTTTTGAACTTGCCAAGCACTTCACTTTTCTGTCTCATGGAGTATACCATGCAGCATCTTTAGTAGTCATCAATAAATGTCATATAGTGCTTTGATCCACCTTTGGATTTAGTCTGCATGGGACCAGACGTCACTATGAATCAGCTGCAGTTGGTGCTTTGAGCATATTTCTCCCACTGACTTGAATGGCTTTCTAAACAGCTTGCCCTCCACACACTCTTCACATAAGGAGTTCTCTTTTTCTGCAAAAGTCCATTACACTCATCAGAGGTTTAAGCTCCTTCAGCATGGTGGTATGTCACAATATTAGATGCCATTGGCTGGCTGCAACTGATTCACTTCCTGTTATTTGAGGGATAAGCGTACTTGCCTCCACGTCCAACTGATATAATCCATCAGATTGTTGTTTTCCCCTTCCTTGAAGATCTCTATCTTTTCCACGTATGTAGCACCGGGTCTTCTTGTACTGCATCTTATTCCCCTTTTTCCACAGCAGATCCCACTGATAAAAGATTCCCAGACAGCTTGGAAATATACAGCACATCATACATTGCAACATCTTTGACATCACTAACTTTGAAGGTCATTTTCATTTTTAAATTACTGAGTCCTTGGCATGGGCTACTCTGCCATCCCCCAGTTTTACTGATTGTGGCTTTGTGAATTCTTGGTAGTCTTGAAGTATTTGACCTGCTTCACTTTTTTATTTAGATTAGTCTCTCTGGCAACCAATGCACTCTCAGTTGCACTCTCAGAATGCTTATTATTCTCACATTCCATTAATTTAACTTTGTGGGTTCTATTTTCTATTTTTTTTTTTTTAGTTTGGAAAGTTGCATTTTAGATGTCCTTCCTTCCAACATTTAAAACCCTTCCATTTGGATCTGTCCAGTCCCTCAGGCTGTGGCTTCCCACACACTTGAGTTGCCATTGCAGAGGCGCCACCTGCTGTTGCACCACTGGTACTGTCAT